TTAAATGTGTAGGAATACACATACACTCACATATTCCTTCTTGGTTTTCTCACTGCTAACATGTACACCTTCAGATATTTATATCTTGTATTCAATGTGTGTTATATAAATCATATTATGCATATATCTTCAGATATTTATATATTGCATTCAAAGTATGCCAAAGCCATGAGAAAACAGTTCTTTAAGCCTTACAAGACACATGTGCTAAGAATTATACAGGGTAAGATTTTATAAATCTTGGTTCAGAATTTTCCCATCATTACTTTTGATTATTCTTTTTGTGACTTTGTTAAACTTACATTTGCTTAAATGAGCCCCTGAAAAGTTTGAGCTAACAGAAGAACAAAGGACAATGGCAGCAGGTGAGTTTATGACTCTGAGTTTAGGTCCTCAGAGAATTCACAGCAAGCCTTGAGGGCCCCTGAGCAAGGTCAAGGCTAGAACCAGGCAGAGAAAATTCCAGTACTTGGGGTTCAGTCCTGACCCTGGGTGAAGTGCTGTAGGTCCCACAGGCTGAGTGTGGAGGGGTCCATTCAAAGAAAGACGAGCAGGATTCTGGTGAGCTCAGAGGGTATCACTGAAGGGGGGTCTGTGCAGTAGACCCTGGGGTTCAGCAAGACTGCTGGTGTCAAGGAAGGGGTCATCTAGTGCAGGTGCTCACAGGACCGGCTGGTGTGAGTTCAAGGACCTGCAGGCTGCCTGCTCCCCAGACAGAAGCTGAGGCATCAACATCATGGAGCAGCTCAGGGGAGATCTCAACAGTGCTCTGTATGATCCTTCTTATTAGAACCACCATGATGTCCAAGTAGATAAAAATCAGAGAGGAGATACAACATGGAAATGGTGGGAAATATATGAAGTTATGAGAGGTTTAATGGCAGTAAGGAACTAATTTCTACAGATGCCATCCCCCTGTGCTTCAAATAGTTTATCATTATGTTACCTTTCCTGCAACCTTAAATAGGTGGGAGAGGTTAATGCTGGTGGTGCGATAACCCTTCATTCATTCCACATCAATTGTAACACTGAAAAACCATTCACTTTTATTTATCAAGATACATTAATTTTACACAGATGGAATAAAACCTTTTACAATTGTTGTTTGATCCTTGATTAAAATACACATTAGAAGCTTCTAAAAACTTTCCTGTTTCTCTAATGAAGTGATCTGAGAATGTGATTTATATAGTTTACAAAATGGAGGCTAATTGAGTAAACATGGATGGGCATTAATTATATTAATATGACTTTTCTAGAAAGAGTTTTCTTTTTTTTCAAGAGATTTATATTTATTAAGCAAATATTTAATTTAATAAACAAATTCATTTATATCAAACAAAAACAAATTCATACAATATCATGAGACAAATATTTATGGCAATGATAGGTGTGAAACAAGTCTCTCATTCAAAGATCAGTGAATCTAAACTATTTAACTCACTAAATTATTATCTTTAAGAACACAAGATATTTTAAAAAGGAAAATGATAAAGTAACTTTCCTCTCATTTAAAAAACCAGAGGTTTTCTAAAATGTCAAGTAGAAAGGTTAAATACAAATAAAACACACTGCACGTCTTAAACAAAGCTAAAAAAAATCTATACATACAGATCTAAACCTATACATATAGACCTAAAATAAATCCATGCAGATTTTTAAAAATTACAACTATTCTGTACCCTGCCCTCTCTGTTAATGTGTAATTTCTAATCAACAAAACATGATAATGCTTTCAAGATATATAACATAAAGCAAGATCATTTTTATCAGTAATTTCTCTAAAAGGAGAGGAAAAAAATAATTAAGATATAATTCAAGAGAGCAGCAAAACTATGAAGTGAAGAGTAATGATGCTCTCAAAGTAGAAATGTGTGACTTTTATTTACTTTTAAATAAAACTTTAGAATAGCAGGTTGCCTATTAATCCGGACAGCAGGGAAAGCAGAACAGTGGCAGGAAATAAGAGCTGGGACCGACTAAGCAGTCTTAACTGCTAAGAAGATCATCCACCTTGTTTTCAGTTTCCTTTTACGCTTCTCACCAAGTAAAAAGGTACAGAAAAACTGCTCAATTCTAGTACAGCATCAGTAAAAACTATAATGGAAAAATGTATCCCTCACTGTGTCCCACTAAAGTTTCACCTATAAAACTGGTAAGAAATTTAAGGGAAACTGTAATTCCACCTCAAATGATTTAAAGACAATCAGAATTTAAGCCAACTCTTTAACTGGAATAGTAATACTCCATTCTAAAAGATTGGTCTGTGACGGGAAAAAGCAGGCAGTTATTTGAAGTTACAAATAAATTCAATCTTTATACTCATGTAATCATCTTCAGTTATCTTTTTAAGTGTAGCAACATTTCCTCTTTAATCATCTAAAATTCCATGCAAAAGATAAAGCCTCACTCATACCACACATGTAGAAACAGAGGCAGGAAAAAGACTAAATGACTTGTAAGTTATGTCATTACAAACTGGGAACAAAGTCTAACCTGCTACTCTACAAATGTGTTATAGACACCTTAATAAATATCAGTGAAGTGATTAAATATTAAACCTGATCTTAACTTCCACATCAATTAAGGTGGAAGGGCAAGCACCTGATCAAAAGTATTTGCAATGAAACCTCATAATCCTTTTTTGATGGATCTCTTAAATTCCACTTTTCAATTTTTAATAAATAGACTAATTTACTTACACAGGACACATTACGATTTACTATGTAACATTAAAGTTTCCAGCTAAGAAACTGCTCATTGAGATGAGAAGCACCAGGAAAAAAAAACATTCAAGCAGCTGAGGATAAGAGAGGAAAGACAAAAGGAGGCTGGATCCTTTATGATGTAGCTTAACTACTGTAATGATTCTGGAACCACCTAATGCAAAACTCCTTTTTGTAAGGGATACTTAAATGTCCTTGTTTCTTTAAACCCCCAAAAGGGGGTGGGGGGAAGCTAGTTATAAACATTCCTATAGGATTCATTAAAAAATTTTTTTGGGGGGGGAAATAAAGGTAGTTAAAAACTTGGGTTTAGAAGAGAGCCATATGAAAATGGACCCATGCAAATACACAAAGCTGAAGAAGGTGGAATCATTTGGCTGCGTGTAGTCTTCAGCAAGATCACAAAGTGCTCAAAAAGTCTTTTACCTTTTCAATTAGACTGTCATCTTTGTCTTTGAAGTCTTCATTAACATCCAGTGTTAAGATAGGCACTTCTTGTAGATAATCAAAGTTGGTTTTTAGTGTTCTATGCAGGAGCCAGCTTTCATGCTTAGAGTGAAGTTTCTCCAAGTATTCAAGACGAATGCCTTGTTTTTCATTTCTTCCCCGTAAATATATTCTATTCAAGCATTTCTCTGGAGTGGCTCGAAGATAAATGATCCCATCCAGTTCAAGGCTTTGGCCAAACTGGTTATTCATCCAGTCGTGCCAGTCTTGATAAATGGTCCACTCTGTTTCATTCATGCAGTCAGATTCATACAAATTAGATGCAAAAATATACCTGTCACTATACACAGATCGTTCAAAAAATAATACTGGTTTCTCTGCATCTTTGAGTTTTCCATTGAGAGCGGCAAGCTGAGCTCGTATTCGACTGAGGCAGGCATATGACTGGAAGGTAAAAGACCATCGTTCAGGTTCCTCGTACATCATCTGAAGAACATTTCCGCCACTTTTCTGAGATGTTGTCAGTTCCTCAAATTCATTCTGAGTACTCTGAACGTTGCACCATGTGGCAACAGGTTCAGGCACCACCTCCCAGTCCTCGCAGACTTGTTTAAGGATATTCACAAATGTTGACTTCCCAGCAGCTTGACCTGCAGGCTGAATTCTCTCCCGTCCCAGAGTCTCCGGCCGGCGGATCGGCGGGTTTGATTTTGGCGCGTGGAGGCAGCAGCCCATGAGGGAGGGACCGCGGCAGGGCCGCCCGCCCAGTGGGGAAGCCACGCCCCCGCCCTCCCCTAAATCGGCGATTCCACCCGGAGCCCCTCGGCCTGCACCCGCCATAGGAGGGACTCCTGCGTGCGCACCAGAAAGAGTTTTCTATACTTACATCAGATAGAAGAGAAGGTGTCCTTCCTTCAAGCCTGCCACATAATATGCATGATTTGTCTGTGTTGATGTTATAAAAATTCCTTAGATTTTCATGAACTATCCTTGTTTTATGCTTAAAAAGCAAGTGACATAATTATTGAAAACTTAGAGCAAACTTCTGTCTTGCTTTGAACACTTACATCATGGTGAATACAGAGGTGTTTGACATCAGTGACAAATACCTCCATTCAGAGGTTTAGTGTGTATATAACATGACTGTGTTCTTAATCTTATAAATTGGAGAATAAAAGTAAATGATTCCCACTTAATATAGAAGGGCTTCTCTTACCATTGGGCAGCAACCATCAAAAATATAAGTTCATGTCTATAGTAGAAACAAATCACAGCATGTAGTAATTTGAGAGTTGAATTACATTTGTTTTGTTTCCTTAATAATCTCAAAAAACCTTAACATAAACAAGGACACATTAATAATAATTATACCTCTGCAAATATCCACCCCTTCATCTTGTGATCCTTACTAACATATCAATTTTGTATGTGTTTTACTTATAGAATACTTGCTACAGTGTTTCTACTTCGAGTAATTCAACAAAAGTGGTACTAATGAAATGCTTTCTAGTATGAATTCTCTGGTATTGAGTTACGTTTGATGTTTGATTAAGCAGTTTTCTATATTTTTTTATTTCATTCATGTATCTTTCCAAAGAAAACACTCATTTTTTCAAAACTGTATATTTAGGACCAACTTTTTTTTTTAATCACTGATTCATTTCTAGGGTTTCTCTGCAGTATGTATTCTCTGATTTTGAGTGAGGTGATGGCTGTGAAGAAATGCTTTGCCACATTCCTTACATTTCTAACATTTCTCTGCAGTATGAAGTCTCTGATGTCGAGAAAGACCTGAACTCTGGCAAAAGGCTTTGCCAAAGTCTGTACATTTATAAGGTCTCTCCCCAGTATGGATTCGTTGATGTTGAGTAAGAAGTGAATAATGGATAAAGGCTTTGCCACATTCTGTACATTTATAAGGTCTTTCCCCGGTATGGATTCTCTGATGTTGAGTTAAATTTGAACTCTGCTTAAAAGCCTTGCCACATGCTGTACATTTATAAGGTCTCTCCCCTGTATGGATTCGGTGATGTTCAGTTAAATTTGAAATGTGTTTAAAAGCCTTGCCACATGCTGTACATTTATAAGGTCTTTCCCCGGTATGGATTCTCTGATGTTGAGTTAAAGTTGAACTCTGCTTAAAAGCCTTGCCACATTCTGTACATTTATAAGGTCTCTCCCCAGTATGGATTCGTTGATGTCGAGTAAGAAGTGAATAATTGATAAAGGTTTTGCCACTTTCTATACATTTATAAGGTCTCTCCCCAGTATGGATTCGCTGATGTGGAGTTAAAGCTGAACTTTGCTTCAAAGCCTTGCTACAAGCTGTACATTTATAAGGTCTCTCCCCAGTATGGATTCATCGATGTCGAGTAAGAAGTGAAAAATAGATAAAGGCTTTGCCACATTCTGTACATTTGTATGCTTTCTCCCCAGCATGGATTCGCTGATGTTCAGTTAAATATGAACTCTGATTAAAGGCTTTTCCACATGCTGTACATTTGAAATGTTTCCTTCCTGTATGAATTTTCCTATGTCTACTTATGCTAGGGGAAGCACACTGATTGAAGCCGCCCACCCTGGCCAGGCACCATAGTAACCATTTGCATGAGTTGTTTTATGGCAGGAGATCCTGATAAGGAATACGGAAGTAATAAGCCACCACCAGCCGGAAGAGTTTGGGAAAGGTCGAGAGGAAACACTACCTGTCTGTCTACTTCCCAGAATCCTTCTCACTAGCATCCATCTTGACTGAGCGATGCGTGCGCCACCAGGAAAGACTCTGAATTAGAATGATTGGCCAAAGACCACCCGGAAACTAATCCCATCACCATAAAACCCAAGACTGCGAGCCACGCGGCAGACCAGTTCTCCTGGGTTTCCTTACCCTCCTGCTCTCCACCCGGGTGCCCTTTCCCAATAAAATCTCTTGCTTTGTCAGCACGTGTCTCCTCGGACAATTCTTTTCCGAGTGTTAGACAAGAGCCCAACTTTGGGCCCTGGAAGGGGGTCCCCCTTCCTACAACACTTAGATTTGGTGACTTACTAAAGACTTTTCCACATGTATTACACTTGCAATGTTTCCGCTTAGTCTGAATATTCTGCTGTTGAATAAGTTTTGAAGACTGGTTAAAAACTTTACCATAATCATAACAATTATAAGTCTTCTGTCCAATATCCATACTCTTGTAAGTATTAATAGTAAGATGTGAGCTTTGATAAAATATATTCCTACACTTATTATGTTCAGAATTGTTGTCTGAAAATTGATGTCCCTGTTGTTTCACGAGATATGAGTCTTGGTCCACATTATGCCCAGTTTCATTGCATGAAGAGCTTCTCATTCCATCATGTATATTCTTGTAATTAGTGGGGGTAGAACTCCTGCTCAAGGCAGTCCTCATTTCGTTAATCACTGTATAACTGATTAAATACAGATTACAAGCATAAATAATGATATTCATTCCTTTGATGCAATGATCTCAGAACTGTGATTTCTATAGTTACAAAATGGAGGCTAATCATTTATGAATGAAACAAGATGTACACGAATTATATGACTTTTCTGAGAAGGGTTCCCATACATTTCTAGGGTATTAGAGATATCTTTATTTGAAACATGTCAACTAATATTCATGACATCTGTTGATATTATAATGATACATCAAGAGTTCAGTGAACTGTCATTGTATTTTCCTTAAAATGCAAGAGACATAACTATTGAAAATGTGCATCTTACTTTAATATGTGGAATTACTCCCTGAACACTTACTTCATGGTGACCTATAGGGATGTTTGACATGAATGACTAACACCTCCATTTAAATGTTCAGTGTACATGCTACATCACTGTGTCCTTAATCTCCTAATGGAGAATAAATATAAATGATCTCTCTAGGATAGAAGGCCTTGTCTCATCTTTGAGTAGCAATCATCAAAAACATAATTTTGCATGCACACTAACAATGAAGCATAGCAGCATGGAGTAATTTGAGAGTTCAAAAACATATCTTGGTTTTCAAATAATCACAAATCGTGTCAATATAAACAAAGATACATTGCTAATAATTGTTCATTTCTAAATACCAACCCTTCATCTTGTGATCCATACTAACATATCAATTTTCTATGTTTTAACTATGGATTACTATCTATAATACTTCTCCTGAAGAGAACTTCAAAAAACAGGATTGATGAAATGCTTTCTAGTGTGTGGGCTTCCCTGAAAGCTCAGTTGGTAGAGAATCTACCTCCAACTCCAGTATTCTGGCCTGGAGAATTCCATGGACACAGTCCCTGGCGTTGCAGAGTTGGACATGACTGAGCAACTTTCACTTTTTCTAGTGTGCAATATCTGGTATTTATTTAGATATAACTTTCATTAAATGCTTTCCTATGTTGTTTTATGTGATTTCTAATCTTTCCTAAATAAATGGTCCTGTATTTTCTGAAGTGTATGTTTAGGACAAACCTCTTCCATCACTTGTTTTATTACTAGAGTTTCTCTCCAGTATGTGTTTTCTGATGTTTGGTAAGGTGAGAACTCTTATTAAAGCCTTTGCCACTTTCCTTACATTTATAAGGTTTTTCTTCCAGTATGAATTCTCTGATGTTGAGTAAGATGTGAGTTCTTGATAAAGGCTTTTCCACATTCTTTACATTTGTAAGGTTTCTCTCCAGTATGAATTCGCTGGTGTTGAATAAGACTTGAGTGGTGACCAAAGGCTTTTCCGCATCCTTCACATTTATAAGGTTTCTCTCCAGTATGAATTATCTGATGGTAAGTAAGACCTGAGTGCTTGCTAAAGTCTTTGCCACAATCCTTACATTTATAAGGCTTCTCTCCAGTATGAATTCTCTGGTGTTGAGTAAGATTTGACTTCTGATTAAAGGCTTTGCCACACTTCATACATTTGTGTGATTTCTGCTGCATATGAATGACCTGATGTTAAGACATGAGCTGCAAGGAAAAACTTTGCCACATTCTTTACATTCGTTTGGTTTCTCCCTAGCATAAACTTGCTGATGCAGACTGAAATGTGAACACCTAAAAATGGCTTTGCCACTTTCCTTACCTTTGTAAGGTTTCTGCTCTGTATGGATTCGCTGATATTGAGTAAGCTTTGAGTTCTGATTAAAGGCTTTGCCACACTTTGTACATTTATAATGCTTCTCCCCAGTATGAATTCACTGATGTTGTCTAAGATTTGAGCAAGACATAAATGCTTTTCCAGATTCCTTATATTCATAACGTTTCTTGCCAGTGTGGATTTGCTGATCTTGACTAAGCTTTGAATTCTGATTAGAGGCATTGCCACGCTCTGTACCTTTGAAAGGTTTCCATCCTGAATGAATTTTCCTGTGTCTACTTAGATTGGATGAGTTAGTAAAGGCCTTCTCACATTTCTTACACTTGTAACTTTTCTGCGGATCCTGAATATTCTGCTGTTGAGTAAGACTTGAAGAATGATTAGAAATATCACTATATTCACAATTATAAGTCTTCTCTCCTGTATGTGTACTCTTCTTTAGTGGAAGACCTGATGTTTGATAAAAGATATTCCTACATGTACTATTTTTAGAGTCCTTGTCTGAAGATTGAGGTCCCTGATGTTTCATAGGGTTAGAGTCTTGTTCAGTTTTAGACCAAGTTTCATTGCATGAATAGCTTCTCATTCCATTGTAAATATTCTTGTAATTATTGGGGGTAGAGCTCTTACTTAAAGCCTGACTTGTGTTATTACATGTGAGAAGTTGTTCCATATTAACCATATCATGATGTGTATTGAACAATGTTGGTGGGATTAACTCTTTTCCATTATTATCAACATTACACATTTTGGAACAGAAAGAACCTGTCTGTTGGTGGAAGAATAATGACCCCTTGCTCACAGATCCCTCAAATTGATTATATTGTGAGATTTCCCCATCATTTTTAAATTTCTGGTTTTCAGACGTGCTTGAATGTATGTGTAATTGAAGCCTGTGTTCAGAGTGGCTTGAATGAGTTATGTGCAGTAGAGACTGGATGACTTTCCAGATTTTCCACATTGCCCTTCAGAGAACATGTATGTTTCAAGAAATGATTAAAGCCTTTGCTTGAAAAGATATGCTTCTCTGCAGATATTGATCACTGAAATGGGTGTTTTCCCCAATTTCACTCACATTGCTCATTTCTTTTGGCAGTAATGTCTGCGTTATGTGAAACTGTCTCAGTTCCTTTATGTCCATATAAACATCTTCTAGGTCTTTCACAGACCCCGTATATTCCTGGTCTTTCATTAAATGTTCATTTCCAAGGTGAACTCTTTCATATGTTCCTAGGTTTGCCTTTGGATGAAATTTTCTAACCTTGGATTCTTTGACATGAAAGCATGGGTGTTGTGAGAAGACACAGCTGAAAGATACCAAATAAAAGTTTATCAAAATAAAAGATATCAAATCTACTATTCTCAGTGAATATCCTTAAAGATGTAGAGAAAATAGAGACACAAGAATCAAAATGCAAGAGGATTAGGCAGACTTGGAGTTCATCTCTCTCCACGAATGCATGAAGCATACATCAGATATGGAACAATTCTCACAGAGGCCCCTCTGAACACTAGCAGAGGACCTACAACACCTAAAACAACAAGAAAGATTCCCACTTAGCCAGGTAGGACCAAAGAAAGAAGGAAGAGGATAGGAATTGGGATGGGACCTGCAACCCTGGGGGGATCTGAAGAGAGGAGGTCTCCATGCCTGGAGACGCCCCTCATTGGGGGAGAGTTCAGTTAAGACAGAAGGGGAGCCGCATCCTCTGTGGGAAGAGAACATGGCAACGGTCTGTGGCAGCAGGACAGAGTGAGAACTGCACACGGGGTACTGACCCCTGTCCTGCCCACCCAGCCTGAGAGGATGTCCACCGCTGCAGACAAGGGCCGGGTGCTGGAACGTGGGGTTCAGAGAGCAGACCCAGGCAGAGGACTGCTGTTGGCTGTGAGGAGACATCCTGAGGGGACGGGAGGGAGGGAGGAGCTCTGTAAATGCGTTGCTTGTGGAGGAAGACTGAACCACCATAGAGCAGAGCAGTGTTGTTGAGTGATGCCAGAATGGAAGAACCCACCAGAGCCTCTCTCCCCCTGTGCTGGCCCCTCATCACTGGTAGTAGGAAGGACCGCCACCCAGGTGGGCTCTATTGAGCCCCAGCCACGGCCTCCCCCATGCCCCTCCTCCACCATCAGCAGACCCCTGTGCTCTGGGGCAGCCTCTGGAGCAGACACCTGTGGGTGGGCCACATGCTCAGATGGAGCTGAAAGCACAGCTGAGCCCCAGGGTTAAGGAAGAAAACCTGAATTCTCTCCTCACAGCTGCACAAACCATGTTTTTACACCCGCCACGGACTTTGTCAACTCAGTCCCTACAGAGCATCTGAATGGACGACCAGGGCTCCCCCAGTCATGGAGGTGTAGCTTTAGCAACTGCAGACTTTGTGGGGATGTATGTGAGGGGGTGGGGCCAGGCCGGAGTCTGAGCTGCCCCATAGCACCACAGTGGATCTAGCTCCATGAAAGCAATTCTGGGCCCTGATTTCACTGGATCTATGCTGGTGACTTGGTGAAAACAACATCTGAGAGACAGCAGGGCCATGTGCAGAGATACCCATGGTTGAGGTGGGGCCAAGTGCAGTGCCGACCAGGGTCACATGAGACTCACACAATGCGTGAGCACACCCCGAGGGGAACATCCCCAGAGCATCAGTCCTCAGGGCCTTCTCTCCCGGGGTTGTGGTCCAATCCCACCTGCCTCCACCACAGATCAGAATCACAGTGAGGAAACAGATCTGGGGGCTTCTACTCCACCAACCAGGGAGCAGACCCACCACAGACTGGGCGGTGACAGCCACAGGGCCATGGGGAAGCTCCCCTCAACATCCAGGGCAGGCTCGGGTCAGAATAACAGGAATCAAAGCCCAGATCAAGGGGAGAAGGGCACAAGCCTGTGGACCAGCCTCACCCCCCAGGGGGCAGACAACAGAGCAAGAGGAGCTAGGAATCCTGCAGCCTGCAGAACAGACCACAGACCCAGAGAATGTGAGAAAATGAGAGGACAGAGAAGTGTGGTGCAGAGGAAGGAGCAAGACAAAGAGCCACTGGAGCCACTGAATGGAGACGAGACGGGCGGTCTAATGATTACTTTCTGACTTAAGTCATCTTAGGAGACGCCACTAGGTGCCTCCTAACTAACCCACTTCTTATTTTATTGTGTTCTATTAGATGTTTTGGAGAAAGCAATGGCACCTCACTCCAGTACTCTTGCCTGGAAAATCCCATGGATGGAGGAGCCTCTTAGGCTGCAGTCCATGGGGTCGCTAAGAGTCGGACACGACTGAGCGACTTCCCTTTCGCTTTTCACTTTCATGCATTGGAGAAGGAAATGGCAACCCACTCCACTGTTCTTGCCTGGAGAATCCCAGGGACGAGGGAGCCTGGTGGGCTTCCGTCTATGGGGTCGCAGAGTCGGACACGACTGAAGCGACTTAGCAGCAGCAGCAGCAGTAGCATTAGATGTTTCAATCCAAACATCAGAAATGATACTGACATAGGTCTAATCAAAAAGTGAGGACATGTAGGACAAAGTCCGGAGAAGCTGATAACAAGATTAATTAATAAAGAAGTAGTTCTTGAGAAATTAAATAAGAAATGAGACTTTAAAAATATGGTGGGAACACAGGGGACACTATCAATGCTCTGTGGAGATCTAATTGGGAAGGAAATCTAAAAGAGTAGGTATATACTAAAACCAATTCTCTTTGCTGTACAACATTGTAACCCAGTTATACTCCAATGAGAATGTTTTTAAAAGATTATATTATCTAAAAATTGTAATATTTTGAAACCATTAAAAAAATGTAGTGGAAAATGTTTTAAGCTCTTATGCCAATTTATTTGAAAATTCTTTGAGCTAGTTGAATATATTTAAGTCTTTTAGCATTGAGGAATTGCGGCAAATACACTTAACATTTCATATGAGTTCATATGAAGAAAACAGAAACTTTGAAGTAACACTGAGATTTGCATTCTTTCTCTTTAGGGAGGTTTTGGTTTATGCATGAAGAAATTACTTAAATTTAAAATGTATAAGATCATATTTGTAGCTTCCAGTGTTTTAGAAATTATAAGTTAGAAAAAACCCCTCTGTCCACAGTATTCCTACAACTTGGGCAGTATGTCTACAATTCCACTCACATATTACCACCTAGTGGTAGAAACAAACTTTAACAGGAGCGTCTTAGAGTTATTCAGAAACATGCAGTTTTCCTAGGGCCCTCAGGAAATGCAATAGTAACCGATTCATGCAGGTTGTCACAGGCCAAGAGGAGGTTTTCGGTTCTCACTGTGATTGAGAAAAGAGATCAGTGGAGATGAATTCAGGAATGACTTAAGAGACAGGATGGGGCACGTGATATCCGCCTATGACAGCAGCAGAAAGAAACCCAGGCTTCTCTAAAATCATTTCCACTGAAGCAGATCTTCCCAAACCACATGACAGAGGATGAATTCCTTACTGATCCTTGGACCTGTCACTGAGTCTTCGGCGTCATCCATTCATACCTACCTGTGTATATGGCTGGCATCTCCTGTCTCCTTACATCCCAGGGATTCTTCATTTGCTCCAGAAAGGTGATCAGGTCTGGCTTAGAGACCATAATACCTGCTATCAGGAAAAGGAGTGTTTGTTTTGCTAGAGATTCATCAGTTTCCACTCTAATATGTATTCAGGTGAGAAGAGAAGGCATGTGTGCTAAGTCGCTCCAGTCATATCTGACTCTTTGCCACCCTATGGACTATAACCCACCAGGCTCCTCTGTCCATGGGATTCTCCAGGCAAGAATACTGGAGTGGGTTGCTATGTCCTCCTCCAGGAGATCTTCTCAACCCAGTG